AACTAAAATTATAATTATAATTAATAGAAAGATGTTCATTTATGTAGCTTTTTCAATACATTTCCTTGTATGCTATTCATCACTGTAGTTTACGCTGTATTACAATTGTAACCGTAACCACCCATCTCTCTCTCCCTCTCTCACTCTCGCTATCTTTGAGTGTATGTGTGCGTGGGTGTGTGTGCTTGGTTACATTCGCTCTGTTTAAGCAGTCATTATCTGGCACAAGCGGAAACACAGAGGCAACCTCTATATATCAAAATGTGCTAACTATTCAAGTTTGCAGGCAATGCAAATGCAGCAAAGGCAAGTAGAACAATGTTGGCACGCCTACGCACCCCGAGGGGCGGAGGCGACTTTTCTTTCACTATGACACAGCAGCAGCAACAACAGCAACAATAACGTCGACGACGACATTGAAAGGGAAATTACATTTCATGTTTATTGTCTTTATAAAAATAATATTTTTGCAGTAGGCGAAGGAAAAATCAGACACAAAATGAAAATACGAGCCAAACACATTTATAGAACCAGATTCAAATCAAGCGTTAACTCATGCAAGTACAAATTTCTAGGAAATTGAATTATCAGAAAATGAGAAAAAAAAGTCAGTTAGTTATCTGACATTTTATAAGTGTATATTTCTAGGAAATATCCAAATTAAATTGAATTGAAAATACCTTACACTGCAAAGATTGAGAAGCTTATTATTTGGTTAATCAAAATAAATTGAGTTAAGGAACACGCAGTTTGTTCCACTGTAGAAGACTTGGGTGAGCCCGCAAATTTCAATATTTGACATTTATTAATGTAATGAAAATGCCATTAAATAAACAAGGCTAACAAAACAGGTAAGCCCCACTGTACATACAAACAAAAACAATGATTGTTGTTGTTCAATGGGGAGTTCAAAATCCTGCGCGAAAAACTCGTCAAATGAAAATGTGGCACAGAACGGGAAATTGTGAAAGAAAAAAAAAAGTGATATACATACATATATATACCTTCCCATAAGCCAACATAAACACCTGGACAACACGTGGTTTAGCTTTTAATTTTTTTTTTTTTTTTTTTTTTGCTTGGACCAAACGAAATTTTCGCTTTGAAGTAATCGGATAGAAAAAACAATAGCAAATAAAAGATTGAGAAAAAGAGTTTTACGGATATGGATGAAGTGAAAATACTCTACAAACATTTAGAATTGGTAGCCAAATGTGTTTATATATTGATATACTTTTGATTATACTATATAATGTAGTCGAATATTTAATTATACCTAACAAGTAAATATAAGCCCCATTACGCTACAGTTTGCTTTTGAAAAATTTGAGGGATTGAAATCGGTTAAAGCACATATTCCTCTTTTAAGATACTTTCTCGACACACAAAAGATACAATTCTTTGTCCACAAGATAATTCAGTTCACAATGTTTATAAAAATGTATATACTTTTTAGTAGTGTATCAAAGTATTAATGCATAGCAGCAACAAATCAGTATGGATAACGAATACTTGATAAATCTCTCTAGGCAGGAGGCCAACAACTCGACTCGAACATACGTGATTCATATAGTGCTTGGTCATACGGGTTTATATGTATACATAGTATATGCACACATACATACATCTGTATATGTTTGCATATATATATAGACAATATTTAGCATTTGCAATATCAAAAGTGTTCGCCCAGGTTTCCATTATTTTACGTATGATTCCGTTTATTTACGCAAACAGTTCAACAACAACAGAAAGAGGCATTGAAAATATTGTACCATAAAATAATTATAAAATAAAGGGAAAACAGAAACATGTGCAAAATACAAATTTGATAATCACATAGATTAAATGAGCACCTGAGCAAGTGGATTACGGCGAATAGTGAAATTCCCTAAAATCGTATGCTATGAATTTACAAATTATAAATAATTGAACACCTAAATATTTTTCAAATACATTCAAAAGTGAACAAATCAGATTAATTTCTGGAAGTATATTTTGGGATTCAGCTCTGTATCTAAACAAATTAATATATTATTTTCTTATTACTGAATTTGTTTATAGGTTTTATTATTAATTACTCCTTTTATATTGCTTTTGGGCATCTTAATTGGAAAATGAGAGAGTCCACAAATAACTGGACATGAGATTAAATCCTATGTAGACATTAACAATATTGTAATTTATAAAGAAGAAAGCTCTGAAATATAAGTGGCATACACTTGATCCCAATATAAAGAAATAAATCGAGCTATAAACCAAAATATTCAAATATTATCATTATGATTTTCTATAAAACATATACTATATAAATTAACCTAAGAAACAAAGATAAAAATTTATTTATATTCATAAAAATACAAATAAATTATAAGATCTTAAAGATCTATCAATGGATTCTCTCATCCATTTATAAATTCAGTTTTATTGGTTGAATTACTTATGAATTGAGATGATATTCAAATTGAATGAAATCTTCAATAAATATCTCAGGTTGATTTTTATTCCTCCTTATGTTGTTAAACAAAAATCATTTTAATAGAAACAAAATTTATAGAGTTTGAATGGTGCTCACAAAATCAAATGAAATGAAATGCAAAATAATCAAAAGCTCGAATGAAATACACCTTGACTGTGGAATACATACATAAAGATGTAGCCAATAACTAGTGTTATATAGAGCTATATAGTTAGATATCGAACAGATATGCTTAGAATAATAAATAGTTTGGAGTCGAGCGCCAAGGCAAAGGCTATTATAAAGAGAACTTTTTGATGGCCAAAACTGGGTAGGTGTAAACAATACAGCCGGTACAAAGTATACAGACCATGTGTGTATATTAGGCATAATATATGTACTATATACAACCATGTACATAGCATATGCAGTATTGAGTATCGAGTACCGGGTCGATGAGTTAATATAAACAACTATTCGGACATTGTCTGCGGGCAACCGGCAAAGACTGGGGCGCTCTGCTTACCTGGCGACCGTGTAAAAAAAAAAATTAAAATTAAAATTGTGGAAAATATAGTAGAAAAACATCATGAGACTTAAACTGAAATACTAAAGTGAACCTAATATATTTTAGATGTTGCTTTTGTTGTTTCTTTTCGTTTCTGCAATTGTGTGGAAAATTGAAAATCAAATGAGCAATAGCAGAAGCAGAAGAAGAAGAAGAAGAAGAAGAGAACAGGTACAGCAGGAGAAGGAGGTAGAGGTGGCGAAACACACACAGAGTCGACCAGCCGCAGCCGCAGCCGCAGTCGCAGTCTCAGTAGCCAAACCCAACCCAACCAACAATATAAACTATAAAAAGCAACACAAAAATATCGAAGCACAAGTACACTTAACTAAAGGCCAAAATGATAGACAAAGACAGAGCGGGCGACACAGAGAGAGAGAAAGTGATAGAGAAAGAGAGAGAGTAAGAGAAAGAGGCACAGAAAAAGAGCGGGCGAGCGGACAAGGCAAGAAAAAAACCTGATGGCCTCTAAGAGGGGGGTGGGCAGAGAATACTCTAGGTGGGGAAAGGGGGCGGAGGGGATGTGTGCTTACATTGTAAAAGAGAAAATAAAAACCAAAGGAAAGTGTTCGCTCAATATATGTATATATATATATATATATATACATATGTGTGCGTTATGTTATGTTCTATGACGTATATGTGTATGTGTGTCTTTGTGTATAGCAAAAACCCAGCAGAACTTTGGGGCAATATTATCATGAAAGCAACAACAAAAACTTCAAGTGTCCTCAGCACTAACATCTTTTGTTCATGAACAAAAAATCATGATTAGTGTAATACTATCTATAACAATATGTTTCTAATTAACGCTAATAATGTTTAAAAATAAATTTAAGGAAACATTATGTGTGGAATACGCCAACATATGCTTGATATGTTATTCAAATTATCATCAGTTAATATTAGGTAAAACCATAATTTAGTTCCATTCGAAATTTTATAAAAAGTTTGAGAATTCCAATTGAGGATTGAATTGAGAATCAGAAAATTTATATACATATAAGAAATTGGAAAATTTAAAATGTGCAATATAAATTTTCAATTTAGCTGTAATAATATTCGAACAAAATTGAATTAAATTTTTATATATTATCGAAAACTCAATCGAGGTATCAACTATATATTTAGAGTAGTATCACTAAATGCATAAAAAATGGCAATTGCACTGCATTTATAACACTCAAAAGTTCAGCTGGGAGTTGCAAAAAAATAAATAAAAATAAAATATCTGTATTGAAAATGAACAGAGACAAAAATATGTTCGGCCAGGCACCAGGCAATTAGGGCCGAGGGTGAAAGGGCGAGGGAGACGAGATACTATCATTTTTTTTTCTTTTCCTCTTTATTTTTGTAGTTTTGTTTTTGTTTGCAATTTCTGCTGCAGTTTTGTATGTACACTTATACAGTTAGAGAACGTATACGACAAACATATATAGAGCTTAAATATAGGGTAACATATATGTATGTAAACGTATACATATACAGGGGGTTGCTTGGCTAATGTTTTTTTTTTTTTTTTTTTTTAATTTATTGTTAATTATTGTATAGTTGGATGTTGTAATTGTAGTTGTTGTTGTTGTCTACTTACCAAATGATTGAGCATGAACCGCTAAAAATATCGAGAGGAATGAAAGAGCGCTAGCCAAGAATTTTGCCTCCATCTTTGGTATTGATCCGTGTTGTTGTTGTTGCTTGTGTTGTTGAATTGTTGTAATTATTTTATTGGTTGTTGGTTGTTATTGTGGTTGTTGTCGTTTCAAATTGCTTGCATATTAAATTTGCTTTAACTAATTCCGCTGATTAATTATATTTGTTGTTGCTTGTTTATTATTTACTTTTTATATTTATGCTTTTTTTGTACTTTATGATTAACTTACTAGATCATTATTAATATTACTTTATGTATAGCTTTAAATATACGATTTTAATTTGTTGTAATTAATTATGCTTATCATTAAATTTGATATTAGTTGATGTTGTTTGTTGGTTGGTTGGTTGGTTTGTTATTTTTGTGTTTTGTTCTGACGATTCTTCTCTTTTTGCTCTTTCTCTTTATTTAAACAGCTCCAGCTTTTGTTCTTGTTTCTCGTCGCTATTTTGTTTTATAGATGTAGAGAAAAGATTATTTTTTTAAAATAAACAATTTCGTTTTGTTTCTTTGTCAATTTTATATATTTTTATTTTCTTTTTTCGTTTTTTGGCTTTCTTCTCGTTTGGCTCACTTTGAATTTTATGCTTCTTGCACAAAATTTAACAAGTAAGAAAGCTCTAGTCGAGACTGCTCGACTACGAGATCCCCTGAACCCTTGGAGCAATAGATATTTCAATAATTTTTCGCGTCTTTCAGCTTACACAAGAAACACGCACACACACACACACAGGCA